AGTTGTTCTTTTTGGTTTATCAGCTTGTACGGGTATATGGCCCCCAGAATATAGGTCGTTTTTTGAGCACTTAGAAACAGGTGTTAAAACTACTTCTAAGCATGTTTAGGGCTGTAAATATGTACATAATAACCCTTTAAATGTTTCTTGGGTAGTTGAAAATAATTATTAGGTTTTTAAGTGTACTTTTTTTTCACCTGTAAAAATACCATTTTTTAACAGGGCCCCCAGAATATAGGTCCAAACATCTGTTCCTAAGTTGTTCTAAAATTGTCACAGACAGTTATATGCAGTCAGAATATGTTGCTGAGACTGTATTGATGATGCCAATGGCTCCAGATACTAAATTGAAATGGTTTAGAGTATACTTAATAGCAAAAAATCAAAAACTACGGCCCCCAGAATATAGGTATGCAAAAATCGTCCTCAAATACTCCACCTTCATACATTTTGATGATGCCATCTCTTCAGCATATGTTCTTTAACTGTTTCTCATCACTACCCCACATTCCTTAATGCTCAGGGTGACAGAGAAAATGCAGAATCTTGGTCGCTATTTTTTTTTTAAAACCTATATTCTGGGGGCCATATACCCGTAATGAGTAAAATCTTTAATTTTACTAGTTAAAAAGCTTTCATGCACTCATTTAGTAGGGATCTTAACTAAATACTTAAATAAGATTGAAGGAGTGTCCCTAGATATGATTGAGGGGGGCTGTTTTTATCTGTATCAATACAATGTGCACCTCAATGACTGTAAATCAGACATTTTTGGCCGCCAAATTTTTTTAAAGGCCTAACTCAAAATTCTGTCCCAAAACTTAAGGTCATGAGACAATTCTACGTTGATTCTGAAAATTTCATGTGAAAATATTGAAACCCTATTGAGTTCTATTGTTTTGAGCGAAGTCAGTTTGAGATATGGGCGATTTTGTTCATTTTTTGCGATTATTTGAACACAGAATCCACAGTTAGGTAGATATTGAGCTGATAATCATAGAGAATGTGTAATATATGCTTACCTTCCATATAAAGTTGGTTTCATTCAAAAATATTGATATTAGACCAATTTATGGACCAAAATCGATCAAATTTGGTGCGTATGCCCAAATATGGGCATATGGTTTTTGTTTTTATCCCATAACTCGGCCAATTTTTATCCAATTTTGATAAAACTTGATATGTGGGTTCAGGAGACTAGTAGCTACAAGTAGAGCATCCCAAAGCAAGGTTTTGGGCATGTTCAGGGTTTTTGACCAACCTATATTTAATTCTGGGGGTCGTATAGACCTATATTCTGGGGGCCCGTAAAATTGTGGTGGCCATAACTTTTTTCCAAATTGTCAGTTTGCAGATGTCTCGATGAAAAGATAGCTTAAAATAATACTTATACTCATACCAGTAGTCTTAATGGCATGTGTTGGACAGATTTTTGTCATGACAATTTTTCGCCATATTTACCCCTCTAGAAAATGACAACATCGTTTAAATCTTTCGCTGTCATGACCAAATATACCAAAATACCTCATGTAGGTCCAAAATTTTTATCCAGAAACATTAGTTACATGTTTTACTCCAACATAGCAGTAACAGATCCCATTAGTATCGCTTATCTTGGTTAGAACTGTATCCACTAACATGACCTATATTTTGGGGGCCACCTATATTCTGGGGGCCATATACCCGTATTGTTATATTTATGGACCCCAAGTCACCACACTAAGAAGGAGTATGTATAAAAAAAATAAGCTAAGTTAATATCATCATATCAGTTTAAAACATTAAATGTTAAGTTGAGGATTGACTTTCCTAGTTAATTTAATGGTTCAAACGTTTGGGAATATAATAATGTTGGTATTTGTATCTGCTGCAGCAATATCGATATGTCATTTGTCTAGAAAATTTTCGCCACTTCAATAGATATTGGGTCGGCAATTTGGTGAGTGATTGATGAACTGGTTTGGTCTGTGACTGAGTGAGGGGCGATGTGAAAGTTGTGGTAAGTCCAGGTGTTACTATTGTTGATGGATTGGGATCCCAGGATATGACATTACTTGTATCACGTTTTGATGTGTCTATAGTACAATACAACGAGTATGGAGTGCGAAATTTCATAATTCGAAATATCTCAGATATACAGTGGTATTTGTACAAGTTTTGAACAGTAAGCAATTTTAGTCGATTAAAAATGGGCTTGGTGTGCTCCTTTTCGAAAAAAGCAGCTCCTAACCTCTGTTTTGTATAAGGTCTGGCTCGTGCACAAGTGGCATGTTTGTCAAGGTATGCATTTAGGTCTCCAAAAAGGATTCTTATACAACGTTTCTGAGTTATGAACAGCTTATCGTTTGGTTGGTCTTTGAGGGCTGAGCCCCAAACACTTATTCCGTAAGCAAGATGTGATTCCAATAATGCAGAGTATATTTTTTGGTAGTGTTCCCCTGGAACTGAATGTTTAATCCTGTTAAGTGCTCCTGTAGTGGATCTAATTTTTTTTCTTAGATATTCTATATGTGGGCCCCAGCTAAGTTTTTCATCAATTACTACACCAAGAAATTTGGTGTTGCTAACCTTGACAATTTTGTGTCCATTTATAAATATTCCTTGTGATTTGTCATATTCATTGGCATACGGCCTAACTCTGGCGCAGGTTTCATCAGATTCATATGCAGGTTGAAAATGTATGTAGCAGCATTTAGACATATTTATATGTAAGAGATTACTTCTCATGAATTTGCATACGAAATCAAGAACTTTATTGGCCTTCAAGTATGTTGATTCTTTGGACGGTCCAGTGATAAATATATTTGTGTCATCAGCATAGAGCACAAATTTGCATTCATCGCCTTTGTAACAGTTTATTATGTCGTTCATATATGATAAGAAAAGTAGAGGGCCTAGTATGGAACCTTGGGGAACTCCATATTTTACATTCATAGTCTCTGATGTAGTGTTGAGAAATGAAACATACTGTGATCTATCGGATAAGTAGCTTTTTAGAAGTCCTAGAGCTAGACCTCTAACCCCATAATTTTTTTGATGTGACGAAATTTACATTTCTTGCCCCTATTTTGAAGAATCATACCTCAATTAGTATATAATGTTACTTTATCACCATCACTATGTCGATAAATTAGTTATTTTGCCAACACGGAGCAAATAAAGTTATAATATTTTTTTGTGACGAAATTTACAAATTTTTACCCTGTTCAGGTGTTGAAATTTTGCCAATGTTAACATATCACTGCCATATAATAATTTATATGACCGGCGTATGGTTGAAATATTGTTAATTGATCCATAGTACGTAATATAGGGTGTTTAAGTTGGTATACTAATATTTACTCAATTTCACACATGTTGAGATATCATACAAATTTATGTGACTAAATTTACCTATTTCTGCCTTCTGTATTTGTATTTGCCTATAACAATGAAATATGTGAACAATTCCAAACACATTCAGCTCACAAAATAATGCTAGACTATTCGGCATTTCTTGTCAGGATGTCATAAACATCCCTCATATAAATTTCTTAAATGTGTGACGGAGTTTACATGGTGCTACCATTTAACGAAAAAAGTAGCTAAATATGTAGATAATAGTCATATGCAACTATCCTATAAATTTGAAATTCGAAAATTTGGTCAAACACGGCAACAAGGGGTCCATATAAACTCTGTCACATTTTTATAGTGTGACAAAGTTTACAACTCACTGCCGGCCGCATTTAAGCGATATCTTATCGTCTGATAAAGATATCGTTATGCGACAAAGTTTATCTAGAGGATGAAACGATTATCCTAACCATTGAGGGTTTATATAGTTTTATAGTGTGACACATTTTACATCATCGTGCCATTTAGTAGGGTCACTAATATTTACCAATATCCTCAAACTTCAATGAACGTGTCCAGATAGGATTCATATCAGTTTGTTCACAAAAATGTGGATGTGCAGTTAGAATTGCTAGATTGTGCAGGCAACAATGTTACCAGGTTATGGTTGTTTCTACCCATTATAATCCCATGGTTATCACCAGTCTAAACTGGTGTTAGGACCAACCCTATAATGAATCCAGGCAATAACCTTATCATTATCAATAGGTTCAATAGGTTCAATTAATCAACCCCTCTCTGTTTGATTACATCATTACACGTTTAACTCTCCTTGACTATAATCAGTCACGTCATTACCATAGAAACACGTGACTTTATCACGTGACTATAGTTACCGATATACTCCTGACACGTGACATATTAGATCACCACATTTTAGAGATAACATGCCGGGTAATATCAGATCATCAGATGATGTAATGTTAGCGCAAGTTACTTGGCTCATTGCCAAGTACCTACTGAGAAAACTCCAGATAGCAATAGGTTTGTTTCTTATGTTCACCCGTAATCCGACCTAGCCAGTGATATGAATTTTTTAGCATTGAAAATACCAGAAACTGAAAACTCATTATTTCAGAGTTGCAGTGTGTTTGAAGGAGCACTGTGCCAGGTGTTAGCTCATGAGGTGATGTAATCGTTAACATGGTTACAGTTTCTATTGTTGTGAGTGAAGCTCATCCTTATCTAGCAACTCTAGCTTCAGTTCATGACGTTACCTAGCAACTCTAGCGTCAGTTAATCAGTTCATGACGTAGGTTGTAATACACTCACTAAGTTACACGAGTGTCTCACATTTTATAAACAACAACCTGTACACAATGAAACTGTGTGGACTGTGGAGGTACCGAATATGGACTAAACTGGTTATTAGTTTTAATTTAAAACTTTTATCGTTATGAAGTAATGAGAACTGACGTGAGGTACACTGATAATTTGTAAGCACAGAGTCCTTCAGTCCTTTCTAATAGAAAGAATAATTAGAACTACTGAATGTAAATGGAGACGTTTCTTACAGTGGCCCCAAATCTTGCTTCAAGTTTAAAAGTTCAAAAGAAGAAATATACAGTAATATTTACTAGGTTAGTAAGGTAAAATAAACGAACCTAGAACATCTAGCGTATGTGTGACAAAGGTAGAAGGACAGCATCTGCCACATATCTATTTTTAGCTTGTTGTCATCATACAGAACGTAGTAATGACACGGTACGTTCGTTCCTGTGAAGTATAGAGGTTTTAACTGATGTGAGTACACGTGGTTACTGGTTACCACTGGTTACCATGTGGTTACTGGTTACCACTGGTTACCAGTGGTTACCAGGTGGTTACCACTGGTTACCAGTAGTTACCACGTGGTTACCAGTGGTTACCAGGTGGTTACCAGTGGTTACCAGGTGGTTACCAGTGGTTACCAGGTGGTTACCACTGGTTAGAGATTGGGTTGGTGGCAGCAACATGACCTTCTCATAATGCCGTAATGCGAAAGAAAAAGTTAGAATGTAGTGTGACGGTAAAACACACAAAGGAAGTAAATATCTCTCCGTGATAGAAAAGCTAGAAATAAATCACAAATTCATTCAGCAAAAGAGAACAGACATGAGGAATGAATAACACATGGTTACCATGGTTACAGTAAGTGATGGTTACCATGGTTACAGTAAGTGATGGTTACCTTGTATGGCCTGCTGAGAGTTAAGGTAGAAGTTCATGTAATTAGGAGAGACCACCCCTGTATCCACCACAGTGCCAGGCTCCATGTTATCCACTTTTCCTCCCTTCTTCACCACAAACCTCTGTTTGTGTCGCTTAGTACACACAACTACAGATATCCTGGGTTTATAGTCCGCTCGGAGCTCCGTACACGCGTCCTGGATCCCACCTAGCTCCTCCATCACAGTGTTCTCAAACTGTCCCTCCGATACTCCGTCTCTGTAGTAGATGATCTTACCAGGCGGACGCCTGTTTACTTGTATGAACTCTCTCAGGATACTGACCATTACATCCTTCATGTCTCTGATGTACTCAACAGACATCTTATCCCCCTCCGGATACAAAGCTTTTACTCTGGAAATGTATTTAGCAGCGGAGGGATCACTTGTTGCGACTACGGCCGCGATGGAAGGTTTCTGATCGGAGCGAGTGAAGTGAGTCACGTCAGCTCCCACTATCATAACAGGCTCGTTGAATATCTTCTGGGGAAGACCTTGGATGTTAATCCCGAAGTTAACTCCACCGATCTTGGCGTTCAGCTTCTTCAGGATATTGTCCATTGTGTTCATATCTGGATGAGCTGGCCTGTTATTCCTAGGGTTAGAATTGATGCCGCAGACCTTTTCAATAGTTTGGAGCTTGATGCACTGAGTTCTCTTGGTGCACAGCTCTGTCAGCTTCACTTTACCGTAAGTGCTCTCGTCGTTGTCCAGGATTATGAAGTTATAAGCTGACTGCATACCTTGTAGGATGGGTCCGAGGTTGTGTATAGTGCTAAAACTGAAGGGAGGGTTTTCCCCAGCGATGTTTATTTTCAGAGCTCTAGCTCGCTGAAAGATGAATTCCAGAAATCTATCATGGAGTTCTTTAGTGTAACGAGTCTTTGGGAGCAGACACACGAACCCTAGCTTGACTTTGACAGGTATCTCCCCGGACTTTTGAACAGCGGACATGGTCCAGGCTCCCCTCTGGACGCTATTCTTGGGATTTGGATCCATCTTGGGTGGATCCAGCACTCTTCCATTCAGCTCTATTGCTTTGGGGTTTATCTGGAACCCATAGTTTGACCCTGTGAAGCCCGAGGTGACTTTGCTAACCTCTTCAGCGGACTTCTGGATATCCTTCATCTTCTCGTCTGGTTTCTGACATGCTTTTCTGATCATGTCTCTCTGTTGGGCTGAGTCTAGTGTAGTGAAGTAGGGCTGGTTGGGGAGCAGGGTACAGAGCTCCATAGGGATCTTGGTTTTACCCCCTGCCTTTACCAAGGGTAGATCTAGATGAACAAGTTTTACATTTTTGTAAGAACCCTGGAAATACTTGGCTACCGATATGTTAAGGTCTTCAATGATGGTACTGTTTGCAGATTGATTGTGTACTCCCGTGATCGTGTATTTTCTCTTGTAGCCCAGATGATTTGTTTCAACTTTGAGACCTTTAAGGATACCATTGAAGTACCTAATTTGCTTCTGATCAAGGCTCCTGGGGAGTTGAGACCGAGAATTTCCCCCTCTTCCTCCGCCTCCTCTGCCTCCACTGCTAGAGTTTTCCAGATTACTCTTCACAAAGTCCAGGAGAGTTCCACCCGGGTATATGACCTGGTGAGTTTTGAGCACTTTGATAGTTATACCAAAGTCCTTGGAGGGGGTGATAGACGCGGAGATACCACTGTAGAGTTTCAGTCCACCAGGGAAATCTGGAGCACGTTGACCTGAGTTGAAGAAGTTCCTCTTGACGGTAACGTACGACCCATTATTGAAGCCTTGGGAGAGGACTATATTCAGAGCGTTGACAGCACCAATGGGGATCACTCCTCCGACTGTTCTTATGGCGTCTAGTATCTCCTGTACGCTGGTTTTAGCCACCGGACCCTGCACTTCTACCTCGAATTCAGTTCTGCCGAGCTTTATTTTCCTGAAGAAGAAGATTAACGTAGCAATGATGTACAAGTTATTGATGGTTAGAATGGCATAAAAAGCTTTTTGAAAATCACACAAGTATCTAGTAACCCTCATTTGCTCATTTGCTCAGAACCTAGTTTAATTATCCCCCAGACTTATTGGAATATTCCAACCAGCTCCACTTCGACCATATTACTATATTGTAACAAAGGTACACAGCTGTCAAAAGTCAAGCTGGTTGACTGCTCAATCTCAGTTTATGAGGCTATACTTCCTACAAACATCCTGGTCCCAAATCCACACACCAATTATTTGACAGGGCTATTTCCACAGCTAATTAGGGTTACCGAAACTGCCCTATATATATATATATTTATCTATGTAAAGAGGTAAATATTGTTACCTCTTTGTTAAAACCAGCTATCGAAAATCCCATTAGAACCACCCGGGCACCGTCTCGATTTACAATCATCCCTAAATACGTGAATAAGACAAAACATAAATTACCTTGATATATTGACGCCCTCTCCTGATGGAGAGTACAGGTTCTTCTTTCCATCGTAGGCCCACTCAGCTCCGAGATTCAGCTGTTTGTACACCTCATCACAAACTCCTTTAGAGGGAACACTGTTAGCGTTATTATCGTTATTCCTGTTGGGGTTCACGATGGACACGTCAAACTGGAAGATACTGAGGGAGGGTTTCTTGAAGTTAATCTGGAAGCTGTTGGAGATCAGCGCGACATTCCGGCCTTTTGTTCCTGTAGCGTTCTGCCTGATCATCTTGTTCTTTGGGGGAGGGGTGACAGTTCCTGAAATCATGGAAATGGTGGAGTTGGATAAACTGACATGTTGATAAACTTTATCATATTTAACAAACGCTAATATATTATCACATTAAAAATTAAGAAACAATAGTTATCTAGACGAAGCAGTTATCTTCTAGTCATGCTACATTGCTACCTGACTAATGTTCAGTCGTCGACGTACTATCAAATGTTTAACTAACCTCAACAAGTGTCATAAACATAATATGCTGTCATTAACATAATATGCTGACTAATTAGGACTGGCAATGTAGAGGAACGCATTATTCCGTGTCGAAATACTGAGTGCGTAATAATTAGAACAAAGCAGATAAATGTTAAAGTAAAGTAAAGTATTAAAGTTCTTACCTGATGAAGATTGCATCGTAGAATGTAGATGTTTCAGTAAGTTATGCTGTTTCTGTAGTTGTGTATCTATCTGTAGAGTTCTTGATTCGTTTTACTGAAAAAGGAATGAGTAAGATACCATGTTCATTGCACAAGTTGAACATTGAAGGAACAACTGTACACATGTTTGATATTGGGTACACGAGACGGCCCTGTCCGCGAACAGGGGATGGTAACTGTGACGTCATTTGAACAGTGATGCACTGAAGTAGCAGCCGGAGGAACGATTTAAAAGATTAGTTTTTAGTCCAGACTGTTTTTGCTGTTGTATTATCTTTTTCTTATCGGAGAAACACCACCCCTTGCCATCAGTGATTAATTAATATGAACGATCCCTGATTGTCAGACCAAGTCTTATTTCAAGATTCCAATCGCACAACTGACTAGACTCTCAATACCCTGAAGAACTCACAATAACTGACTGGAGCTTGATAAACTTAATTTCAGTGCATCTTCTTTGACTCTAAATGTGATTCTGAGCCGACAGGATGCTAAACCTATATCCTAAACTAATAATGCAGCATTACTGATAACCGAGACAGTAGGTTCGAGACAGCAACAGTGCTAAGTGTAACGATAAGTTAATATGTAAGTACATACTACTGAACTGAAAATGCTTAATGAACACACTTGCAGATACCACCCGTATTCACATCCAGACCTGAGTTTGGGGACGGGTTCTATAAACAAACAAAGTACAAACAAGTACATACTACACAGTACACTCTTAGAACGATTAATTAATTAAAAAACAAACAGAAAGTAAGATAAGTACCTCTAATAGTGAGAAGGAGAGAGTATACTGAGGTAATTGTCTCGACTAGCGTACAGTGGAAAAGAGGTAACAAATTCAAAACGTATGACTGCGAAATGATGTAATGGTTGAGACAGGCTTTATATAGACCAGGAGCACTCGGTTGGCTGTCAGGGCTCGGATTGGTTTACGTGACTGTCACGTGATAGTGCGCGCGCCGCACCCAACAGTAAATTAGCGAATTTAGCTTAGCGCGCTACAGATTGCACATTTCATCTCACATCTCGTTTGACTGTCAAAGTAACTGGCAGGGTGAAGTCACGAGTAATTATGTCAGAGTTGAGCAAAAGGAATGTATAATATGCGCTCACGTTTCATCATTATGCGGTTAACTGCCATAAGTTAGCTGCCTTCTTATTATAACTGTGTTATTTTAACTGTTGAGTGTTCAAATGTTGGTGGATGATTCAAAAAGGTTTCGGTAAGTACGAACTTCACTTAATTCACAGTTAAAACCTGATAACATACAATAATGTTATTTGGTAATTGCTCTGAATTCTGAAATGTGTTTAGATTCTTTCATACATAATTATAACATAAACAGAATACAGTGCTGAGTCCTTAAGACTTTTTAATCAATCATATGTTTTGTAAGGTTTGTTATCATGTCACTAATTATACGTCACTAATTAGTGACATGACCTGATCTCCCCGGGCCCCCTAATAATGGGGGGGGGGGGGGGGGGGGGGGGGGGGGGGGGGGGGGGCTGGAAGTCGGCCTCCCATTCAATTGGGAACCCCTCAAACGATTAGACTATGATAATGCTATTGTTTTTTGCACAGATCATGAAGTACAGTCGTCTCCCAAAAACTTTAGAGTATAACAAAAAGCTCTAACAAATAAGGTTTAATTAAAATATCAACAATAGAACCGTGCTGGTATATTTTAAATTTACACCTGGCCAACATCTCTCTTTTACGTGGACCTTTCTTTCCTATGGTGATTCATTTAGTTTTTAAGTTTTGCTTTATACGCTTTTAAGGGCTCATTATTTCTCATATTCTATTCAAGAACAAATGTCTCAACTGCTCTTCAATTTAGAACTTATCTAACGTTTTTTAATCTGATATATGTTTTAAATCTTACGTTTTTCAATCTGATATATGTTTTAAATCTTACGTTTTTTAATCTGATATACACTATACAGGGTGGGCCAAAAGTCAATGGGCATACGTTGGCCTTAATAGCTCAGTCACTGAGTGCCCAATTGAAATAATTCTTTCTGGTATGACTTACTACCATCACTGGTTCGAGATATTTTTCAAATCGAAAAATATTCGAGTTCATTTGTTTCAAATGAAGGTTCATTTTAGCATTTATTTAATAGTTTGGATAGTCGGATGGAGCTAAATTTTATTGAATCGTGTTTGGCCATTCACATTACGTTTGTCCTGAAAAAACTTTAGCTTCTCAGATGACCGAGATATGAAGCATAGCGAGTTTAGTCATTACGTGTGATCAGGTGAATGGTTTACCTAATCAGGTGATTGGGTGACCCCGTTAACCACCTTGTTAAACATTATGGGAATTGTTAAGGGTGCCCAATTAAGGTGTCGTGTCACGGTGTCACATAATCATCCAGTCAATTTTGTTAACTTCGTCATTTCTAATCCGTTTTGCCTCATGTTTTCAGATCATATGCAACATTTAATAATCTACCGTCTCTGAAAAAATTAGGCGTTCAGTATGTTAAGAGAAAACAATATAGGTGTTTTAACATTGAATGGGCGTGGTCTAAAATATTCGAATTTTCAAATTTTGACGACGGAATCCTCGAACCAGTAAGTACAGCATGCCATCTGCAAAGCAACAGCTCTCAAATATAAAACACGGCGGAGCTATTAAGGACAACGTATGCCCACTGACTTTTGGCCCACCCTGTATGTTTTAAATCTTACTATACGTTTTTCAATCGGACGTTTTTTAATTTATATCTTGACCATTACTCATAAGCCCCTTTCTAATCAGCATTTTCGCCATGGCCACTTTTTTTAGACTCCTTACATAAACGGCAAATATTGCAAAGCAATAATGAGGCAATGAGGTGAAGAAATTGTTATGAAAGGAGAGCAAATATTCACCAGAATAAATCGTAAGACAGCTTAACTGAATAAGCCGTTGATGATCGATCAAAGGAAAAAATTGTACATAATATTATGATGCAATGGAAATTTTGAATATGTCCTACCAGTAGGACATATTCAAATTTCAGCTTTCCGAGACCCAAATTTTACTGTTTTGACTGAATTTTTCTTGAATGACCATCTTACAAGGTGATAAATTAATATCATATAAAGACCAGCATTTGATGTGAGAGTCGGAATTTAACATTAACTTAGAGCTTGCGCTTGGTCAGTTGGAGAGTTTCCAAAAAGAGTTCTGCCTTAGTTCATGTAATTTCTGTATTGATAATGATAATATACACATTCTATTATGACATTTGAACTGTTTCACATTTATTTTTCACAATTTTGTTTCACATTTTTGTTATCATATCGGGGCCATGTAATTGCGGGCACATTTTACTGTGCAGTACCGTGTTTGGTCTCCCGTCAGATTTTACAGACGGGGCAATAATTTATTCGAGTTTATTTTATACGTTATAATTGCACACTCTGTAAAGTTTGAAAAGTATTTAATAAAAAATGTGTAATATAGCCTACTGGACACCTGCTAGTCTGAAGCTATATTCGACTATTCGAGGCAATGTAAAATCATGTATGTTCAAATTTCTCATCATGAGTACCACACATTAAGAGTTACTCTCCATCTCAAATTAAGTAGCACGTGTTAACTGATGATCTAGCACCCGTGTTGTAGTAGCTCTGCTAATGTTCAGTCCTGATTACTGATGCAAGGGACACTTTACCTCTAAAGGAAAGAGATTATACAGGAACGATTGACCATTCTGTTGTTTGCTAATATTCAGTTTTCGGTCGTGCTCATTACTAATGCAAGGGCCACTTTTAGTAATTATAGCTATGATTGACCATTATGTTATGAAATCTAATGGATCCTCTCTGTGTCACCGTCTGTGCTAATAAGAGTCGACTAACGCATAATTTGTGTACCAGCTGAAGTATGTGTCTTCGTTTTTTCATTTATGTCTTTTTACTACCGTGGAATTAACGAGCAATTTTCCGAATATTTATTACTATTTTTGTATTTATGATAAGTAATATAATTGTCTTTTCTCATACAAAAAATTGTCTTTTCTCATGTAATGGTATATAATGACGTTTAAAAAAAGGATCAATTTTCTTGTCTCTATCGAATGGATTTCTTGACATTTGCTATTACAGCCTTAGCAAGTTCAGCTTTACAGGTTTTTAAATAATTGGTGTCCATTATTCAAAGCGGTTGTTAACTCTTGATTTTGTACCCTTAGTAACGAAAAAATGGGGAAAATATGGGCCCCTCCCAATAATTACAGTCTGTTTGGAGGATACGAGAAGTACTGGTGGCTTGATAACAATGTGAACCCTGTTTTGGCCCGTTCATTCTTCTCAATGTGTTTCCTTCTTGGTACACTTATTGGACTGATTGGAAGTACTATAATCTTAATAGCTACTAAACAGAAAGCAATTAGGTTGGGCAAGATAACAACTGCATTGATTCAACATGTTGCAGTTTTGGACCTCTTAACTACATTTGTAGTTCTCTTCCCCACTTGCTTGGCTGCCATCACGGACCATTGGTTGCTAGGCAAACAATTCTGTGCTTTTCAAGCATACTCCAGATGGTTTTTGGTGTCTGCTACTGGTTTTTTGATTACTGCTGTGAACTGTTCTAAACTGGCTTCTATCCTGTTTCCATTTAGGAGTGCAACATGGACTTGTGGACAAGGACACATTATAGCATGCTGCATCTGGGCTCTCTCATTAGCCCTTAATTTAATATTTGTTCTGCAAAAAGATAAAATTAACGTTAAATACGATAAAAATCTGCTAAGTTGTGACATATTGATTGAACTTCAATTGTTTATTAAGTCAGCTATTGTAGTATTTAGTGTTGCACTACTCTGTACCATTACAGTAGTGATTTCTGGAATCTGGCTGATAGTGATTGCTATAAGGCTGAATCACCGACAAGGGAGATCAGTTAATATTCAGGGAACCTTAACTGTAATCTTAATAGCTGCTGTTTATTGCATTAGTGTGTTGCCTCTTTTTGGATATTATGTCCTTGAGGTGATTGCCAGTGATAGTGACAGAAACCTTAAATTGGCAATGTTTTGTCAGTGTATTCCATACTTGAACAACATTGCCAATGTTTTCATATACATGATGTCCCTAACAAGCTTTCAGAATTTCATCAAGGCAAAATTTGTTGCGATTTTTTCGTGTTTCATTACCCAGAGGCAAATACATCCTATAATTATTAGGGCCTAACCCTGCAGTTCCACGGCTCAGTTTTGCAACCAGATTTGCTCACATTTTTTCTCACATTTTTGCGACCGGAAATGAAATTCAAAAACATTTCTCCGCACGGAGAAATATTTTTGATATGACCCAAAACTCGGTGAAAGCAGTTTAACCTAGGCGCTCACGTGGGACATTTCATTATAATGCGCCCACGTGCGCGCGCAAATCTGCGAGCAAATACCAACCGTGGAAACGTACATTGTAAACAAAACTGCTTTCGCGGAGTTTTGCTTTTCAAAACTCATTGCGCGGAGTTTTGTGTCAAATCTGGTCGCAAAACTGAGCCGTGGAACTGGGCTGTAAGCAATTAACGAATTGCTACATACAGATCCAACTCAAAGAAGGAGTCAGGAGGAAGTAAAGGAAACAGTTTTAATTGAAAGGGGTGGAACAGAAGTCGATAAAACGGGAATCTAAGCTCATGCAGTGGAAACAGACTATTGTCTTCTGAAGAATCGAGAATAACTGAGAGCAAAACCACTGTTCAATATTCATGTTAATCTAGTACACTTGTAGAATATAGATATACATAATACATTATCTATTGTGATTAGTATGATAAGCTTGCTGTCAATATACGCTACTTTGGTTACCAATAATTTTATTATTTGCATTTAATACAGCTTGAACAT